ACTTTACGGTATGAAGGTTATGACGTCACTCACAGCTCAGAGTGTCAAGTTCAATCAGTGATGGATAGTCTCGATAAAATCATTCTGAGATAGCACCTTTGACAGCTGCTATAGTATACTTTCTTCTGTCTTCTGAATGGAGCTCAGAGAGCCTAACACCTCAACTCGGCACACTCGCACTGCATGTCTGATAGAGAGACTAGAAGGCGAAAGATGTTGCCCAAAGTGCCTATTTTTGTACATAGGCATTGCGATGTGACCATGGAATATGAATTATATACCAGCTGGCCCATTCGTATCTCGAGTCTATGCATGAACTATTTTCAGTGATAAAAAGCAGTCCACCAAAGGCTTTGAGCAAAAGGTTGCCACCACAAGCATACCAAGTCAGGTCTTTGCTGCCTGGCATCGCCAATATTTCCGTCCTACCGCAACAAGTTCCCAGACTTGCTCACCGCATCGAGAGGCATGCAAGGCACTGCCATTCACTGTTCAACACGACACGGATCATGTCGAGACGTGCTCCTGTGCGGCCATGCAAATTTGCTCGTGTTGCCTCCACAATCTCTTTGGCCAGTTGCTGTCAAGTGCCGATGAGTGTAGCTTGCTACCTCAGTACTACACAGTTTACAGTTGCGCCGTGCGCCGTACCTCTTTGCATACTTTGATACTAGAAAGACCAGCATGAGCAAGAGCAGCGCCCAATGGCACCACCTGCTACACTTTAGCAGTGCAGTGTCGTTCTGGAACAGCCCAAGCATACAATGCCTGGCTGGCTAGCTGAAAAAAGCTAAAGTTGTAGAACGAAGCACTTTAGCCAAAATTTGCCAATGTTCAGGAATGACGAGAAGATCGCGCTTGAGATGGGCTATCCAGCATTGGTATGGGTATGTGTCACTTCCACGTGTCTGAAGTTGCAACCCCTCATGGCCCTCAGGATGCCATCGCAGCTAGCAGCCAAAGCCCTTCATGAGGCTTCAAAGTTCCATCTCTGCCATCCTACAGGTATACATCCTGCACACAATTTGGAACGTTCCGAAGTGTCCTCACCTCCTGTCGTCACTCACGCTTATGCATACATGCCATACACACACTCCACGCATGTTCACTGTCTTGAGACGTCCTATTGTTGCCACCACTCGCTTTGTCTGCAAAAATCTCTTCACCCTGTATCTTGTGGCATAGTATTCGTGCGCTTGAGATTGCAATCGTTCTCTTCTTCGAGCGCGTGGTTGTTGTGCTGTGGACCCTTGACTACACTTCATGCTTACAAAACGGTCTGCATTGAGCCTGGACGTACTATCTCCTTGAACCTTGATTGTCCGGATCCTTATACAGGTCATGGCCGCAGTCCTGTACTTCGAGCTTAAGCGTGGCAGGATGCGTGCCGACAAATTGCCCGTCATGGTCAGCATGCCCTCGTCTTAACAGTGGCGCCACTTGAAGCTGTTTGTTTGTTCTCTGAGCATTCACTCCAGATGTAGACGTGTTAATCACGCAACAGTGGCAGCTGAACACTCTCAGATTGATCACACGCATCTGCTTCCTGTGGCATCCAGCTTCAGTCTCGATATCTTTGTGCTTGGGTGCACTCGTACAAACATGCTGGGTATGATATGAATGACGTCTTCGTGCCACGCCTTACAAAGCCTGGCTTCTACAAGATTTTTGGTCGTACAGACAACCAGATTACGCGCAGTACTGGCGAGAAGACGGACCCCGATCTGCTTAGTGAGTCATCTTGTTGCAATGATTTCCCACATGCAAATACTCGTGGCGAGTGCAGAGGCAGTCCTCAACCAAGGCTCGCACATCAAATGCGCTGTTGTGTTTGGCAGAGGAAAGTTCAACATGGGTGTCGTCATCGACCCAGCACCCGAGTTCGTCTTCAACCCTGCAGACAAAGAGAAGCTCAATGAGTTCTAGAACTTGGTCTGGTGAGTGTTTAATCCTGGTGTCTCTGACGGGTGGCTAAGCAAGAGTTGCAGGCTGACAGTCAAGATAATGAACAAGTGTGCTCCTCAGCACTCGTACCTGTTCAAGGAGGTGAACTCAGTGCACAGCCAGGATTTGCACAGATGCTCATCAGACGTTCTAGATGACCATGGTTGCCTTGCCACAAAAGCCATTAATGTTACGCCTCGAGGAACGCTCGCAGCTTGCTGTGCTACCATTGTCAATGAGTACACCAAGGAGATCGAGGCACTCTGCACTGCAGCAGACAAAGCACCCAAGGACAACCTTATCCTGCCTTCATAGTGGGCATATGAGCCAGCTAAGGATTTTGTCCACACAGTGGTGACCTGTGTGCTCGAGTACAATATTGGCGATGACAATAATATCTTCTGGTACGGCTGCTGCATGCGCTGGATGACACAACCAAGTTTGACACATGGCAGGTCCCAGACAACTGTGTGTACCAGAATCTGACCACTGGTGCACTAGTGACATTTGTCGCTAGCCTTGCAAATGGCGAAGCTGGTTTAAAGCAGGAGCATGCTGTAGCATTCATGAACAGTATTGCCGAGAAATAAGCAAACAATTTTTTGCGCCAACTGCGGACGTATGCGAGCCAATATCGTATCACCGAGCTGTGGCACACATGAATCAGACATGTATTGATCAAGTGCATGCATACAAAGCAATGTACTGGTACAGAGAGTGTTACAGAGCAACAGATGGAAGGCGAAGAGTGCCATCAGCAGCGGCAGAGCTGGTAACAATCTGCTTAGCATAAGGCAGATTTGGAGACTACAAGATTTGATAGAGATAAGAAAACACCACACTGCACAAACTATGACTCACCTGGTCAGCTTGCTCTCGAAGCTGCTTGGCCACAGAACCAGTTTGTACTACCCCCAGCTTTTCCTGGGTCAGCATAAGCTGAGTCTTGTGGAAATGGGATGCATATTCAAATA